GCTTTGGGGTTTGCACGGGTGTTCGTGCGAGGTCTTTACAGGGACTGAGAACTCATTCCATCCGCAGGCCCGAAAACCTCCTCGTCACTTGTTGAGGGGCTTGACAGTAACAAAGTAACACCTGATGGTTAGGGTTTAGGGTATCGGCTCAGGGGCAGGAGGTGCATTCGACATTGTTTACCAAACGTTGAAGCAACGCAATGGGGTTCTTGCAGCCATGCTGGCGCCTGGGGATCGTGGCTGTGGTTGCCGTCAAGAGCAATGGGGCTAGGGTTTTGGGGCCGAAGCCCTGAGCCGATGAGCACCCGCCGAAGCATCTGACCAAGGCAGTACCAGGCCCCCCCGAAGTTGTCCATGCTGGGCATCTGGACGACGCTGGGCCCTTTTTGGAATAACCCTAAACCCTGAACATAGGCTTGGTGGTCGGGGTTCCCACGGCTTAGAGTTTAGAATATCCAAGGGAGCCTAATCCCTAAACTCCAAGAGCAAGACAGGAAAGCCTTGCCAAAAGACCTGATGAAGTGTGTGGAAGCAGGCCTGGGCGAGCGAGACGGAGTGTTTTTTTTTTTTTTTTCGGCAGTCGGTCCTCTCGAACGGAGTTTGTTGGTGGTTGAGGCAACTCCAAGCTTGACGCCATGTTCTCTTATCGGTTACTCTTATACCCGAAACTTGTCATTTCAGCCCAACGCCCAGCATCCCGAACCTTAAAGCTTCAGTCTGGAGTGGAAGGAACGTGTTCGATGCAGACTACCTGGCCGGCTTGGTGCAAGTTGTGGAAGCCCTAAACCCGAAGGGTCCAAGTACCAGTATGGTAGCTACTTGGTAGGTATTTGGGCCCCAAATGTATATACTGTACTATTCACTTGGGTAAACCCGAGCCCATGATAGTTTCAGGAACTACTACAATACCAGATACCCCAGAAACAAAATCTAATATTCAAAGCCGCCGTGTCAAGCCCCACGCCCGGAAAAGCATTGTAAAGCCCAGTTTAGGAGTCCGTATAAACTCTATGAAACCGCCTTCCTTCGTTCAGGCCCGTATAATACCCTTGATTTTCAGGGTCCGACAGGCAACAGCACGGTGGCCACCGTGGCCAAGCGTACCTTTGCTCCTGTCTGCGCGGTCTGGTTTCTTGTCAGGCACTGTGTCACTGTGAAAATAGGGTTGAGGGCGTAGAACTAGCTGGGCCTTTGGGGTGTTGGGGTTTAGGGATTAGGATTAGGTGAGGTGGAGGGTCTAGGGCCTAGGGTTTAGGGTTTGCGAATCTTATGGAAACCTGCTAGAACTACTAGTCGTGCACGATGTAGTCGTCGTCATTTTGGCAGTGGTATTCGAGTTAGTCGTGGCAGTTGTGATAGTTGCCGTGGTAGTTGTCAGTCGTTGTCGCGGTAGTTGTTGTAGTAGTCGTCTTCGCAATTGCAGTAGTAGCAGTAGTAGTAAGAGCAGCTGCTCTTGTTGCTGATGTTGTATACATTGCACTTGTCGGCGGTGAATGTGCTGGCGTTCTTGATTTTGCTGTAAGTCTGGCACGCACAAGAATAAAGACGACCGGAACGACTGTCATGGGTGTGTCTGATCTGGTAGCAGCAATGCCAACTAGTCAAGCTTGCCAGTCGGCCGTCAACAGGCTTTGCGGCTTTAGCAGAGGAATTCGGATAGCTTCTGGACATGCATGTTGTTGGTGCCATCATTGCTTAGCCGAGGTCAGTGGGCAAAGCGTCTCTCCGTTTCGTGCTCGAACTTCTCGAGAAGTTGGTGCCACTTGGCGAAGTGGAACGCCTAGCAAATTGGCTTTACCGGACTTTCCATAAGATGGACATCCATGCGTGCATGCTTCCATGTATGCTTGTCTGCTGTCTGCTTACGCTCTGTCTCTGTTCTTGTCTGTTTGTCAGTCGGCCGGTCTGTGTGCGTGTACGTACACGAATGCATGCATGGATGGATGCGTAGATGGACGGGCGGGCGGACGGACGGATGGTCACACGGATGGATGGTTGCATTTATGTATGTATAGTAACTATACATGCACACGTGTGCATATGCATAGTTACATGTACGCCTTGGAGGGCAGAAAGTAACTACGTTGAGGCTCAGGAGCATTGCAGTCATCCCAAGTCGCTGGTGAAGCATTCTGTTGTTGAAGCTCTTCTAAGAAGCTTTAAAGACTTATGAAGTGTACTCTCTGCCCTGAAAATCTTTTGTTCCAGGAGTTTTGCGATTGATGTCGTTATCAACGCGCTCAAGATCGTCCGTGCCACTCGAATGTTCGGGGCTTTGGGAGTCCAACAAGCAAGTAGCTAGACCGCGATTTCTTCATAGAGCTAGCTATAGCCCCCAAGCTACATACTGACAAGCAGCCACCGCCAGTGCCACCGCCTCGAAACCAATGTGCTGCCAACGCGCAGCACCAGCAAAACCATGCACAGCCCAGGCTACAACAGCAACCACACAAGCAAGCAACGGCAAAATCAACAGCGTCAACGAGATCAACCGATGCAACAGCACAACCACACAAGCAATTGCAGCGTCATAATCGCCGTAGGGCCACTGGAGGCAAAGTGCTCCTGTAAGGTTTCCAGGCATGGCTTCAAGGTACTCACTGCCTCACTGCTTTAATGACCCTGGTCGGCAGATCTTAGGCCGGCCACTCGACCTAATGGCTCAACCGTAGCAATGACAGTACTTTCCAATAAGACTACCAATATCAATAGTAATATCAATAATACTAACCATGATGCTAACACGACGAATACTAATGCGAATACTTCAAGAAACAAAGCAGGCTCTCCAGGATTGGTGATTGGCTTGGGGGATTTTTCGGTTTGAGATTCAGCGCATGGTTCAAGCTACCTGTCACTCTAAGAAGGAAGCAATTTCACAAGTGTCCAGGCTACTATGCTCACACTTCTCGTTGAATCTGAACTTGGCGGTGCGCTCATTTGGGTTCTGAGTCCCAATGTCATAGAAAATGAGAAAGATGGTTTGTGCTCTTTGACGACGCCCATCCCCGAAAGGCTTAACCCATGATACCCGCTCACAGATCACGTCGAAGGCCGTAGACTCAATTTTCGGGCTTGAGGTATTTGGGATTTAGGGTGTATTTATGAGTCTAGGATGCCCAGTAGTACCCTTATTCCCTTTTTGTAGTCCTAGGTTCCTTATAAAGTTACCCAATACCAAAAAGAGAGGCCTTTTTATTCTTAGGTTGTTGGGTATCCTAGGAGTGTGTGAAGGGTTCGCTAGACAAGGGCCTGTCTGGCACCTCGATACGAACGCGAAGGTGCTACTACACAAATGGACGCAAAGACCGACGACCCTTCTCGCAAAACCTGCAACCCTGAAGAGAGGTCTGCACCTAACCCTTAAACAGGGGTCTAACCCTAAAGCAGACACCTAGATGTGCGATTGTGCGGGGCAGGCTTACTAAGTCCGGTCAAAAGCTCGTCATCCTCAGTTGAGGTTACAAGAAATCATAACACGGTTACCGTTTTCATAACCTTCCTTATGTAGCGGTTCCTTAGGTGGGAGCCAGGGCATCGTCTCCATTGTAGTTCCTTTGTGGGGTTTTACCCTAAACCCTACACCTTAAAGGGAACCCCAAAAGGGAACTACAATGGAGTCTACAGGTTTTGGCACCAAGACAGGGCAAGCCCAAAACCGCAAGACCTCGCCGGACAGGACAAGGCTCGTAAAGGCTTCCAGTCCGAAGAGAAAGGCCTCTTGCCCATAAGCCCTTCTTGATCCCCTGATTAACAGAACCCCTACCGGGAAGCACTTAAGTGTTCCTTCAAAAGGGTACTATGAGGGTTCCTTCAAAGGGCAGCACATGAAGCAAGGAGGCCTTTTGTAAAGGAAACCTACACCCTAAACCCTAAACCGAACCGGTGAGGCTGTGATCTTCGGTCTCTTCGGACTCATCCACAAACATCTCCTGGGCAAGCGAGTCTGGAGGGAGGAGTGCGAGGCTGTGTTGTGGTTCAGAGTTTAGAAGTTTTGGGTTGAGGCTTTGGGGGTGGATTCGGGGTTTACAAAGTTTTAGGGTTTATAATAGTGCCTGCAGGGAGTTTAGAAGTGTAGGGTTTAGGGCTTGCAGGGAGGAATACGAGGCCGTTTCTAGTTCCTGTTGAAGAGCAACTGCTGCTACGTGTTTGTTTCCCTGACCGCTTCGTGGGATAGTACACCAGGACCCTCCTTGTACCCTCAAATAGGGGTATATGGTCCCAAGTAAGGGGCATTTAGGGTCTACTAGAGGGTAGATGGAGGGTCTAGGGACATGCCACAATATTGCGGGCGAGCGTCGAGAGATGCGAGACTACCACGGTAAAGTTTCGGGAAGGGCTGCATGCAGGAGAGCACTGGCAGAGACGAATCAGCAGGGGTGGCAGCAAGGGGGAGAAGGAGGAGCTGCGGTCGTCGCAAAAACAGTAGCCTCAGCAGGACAAGTACAAGTATGCAAGAGTAGAGCAAGGTTTAGATTAACAGCATCGTTCGTGTTGCCGTTGTGTTTTGATGTTAGCGCAACGGTGATGCTGGTGCATGGTGGTAGTGGTGCTGGTCTTGTCGGCGGGGATGGGCGGTGGCAGTGGAATCGGCGACGCTCCTTAAGGCGAGTGTGGTTGATGATTTTGCCTTGTTTAATGTGGGAGTTTCCGACAATTAGGGGCACCTTATTTTGGGGTCCTTACAATAAGGTCCTACTATTTAGGGTACTATACTAGGGTCCCCATTTTCGGAAACTCCCATGTTGTGCTCTGCTGCGAATGATGCGTTCCTTCTGCTGTCAATCGCGCTTTGTGAAACAATGAGAGATGCCCCAAAGTCCATTATGGTGCAAGCTCTAGGGTCTGGGGACATTCAGCCAGGGATTAGGGTCTATAAGGCCTAAGTCTTCGGTGTGTTCCTTTTTGAGGATCGGGGGCTCCTCTTTTATCCGCCGTTTCCAGTTCGGGCTCGAGCCTGAGGAGGGCGCAGGAATCGTTAGAGTCTCCTCTGGTGGGCCATGGGCTGCGCGGCAGGGATCCCACAAATCCATCGTCAGGATGCCAATGTACAGGCACAGCCGCAACCTGTGACCCCAAACCCTATAGAATAGTAGGTTATGACTATCCCTGAAACGGTAGGTTTTTGGATCCACAGGAAAAAGTCCTTAAAAGTGTATAAGTGTAGACTCCAAGCATCTCTACAATCCCTGAAGGAACCCATCCTGAATCGGGACATCCCAAAGACCCAAGCCTTAAAGGCCACATGTCAGGCCTTTCATCCCTGAACCCCACAAAAGCCCAACGAAGGCGCGAAGCCCTGAACACGCAGATTGCTGAAGCCTTGGTGATGGGCCCCAATCTAACTGCATAACCATTAAGGATATAGTAGGTGTGCAGGTGTGAGCGTGCAGGTGTTGTAAATCGTGCCGGGGGATTCAGGGTTTAGGACTATTGGGTTTGGGTTCTGAGTTCAAGGCAATTCAGGGTCGAGTGTGTGCAGGATGTGGGCGCGTCTGACGGCTCGGTGCGGCTCAGGTGTAGGATAGGTCTTGAGTGCTTAGGGTTTAGGCTTGAGGGCTTTTCACTAATCCGTTGTGGGCTTAATCCATCAGGGTCTGAGGCTGTTTAGGTGTTTGGGGTTGGAGGGCCCAGCGCCTGAGAAAGCAAAGTACGATTCCTGTTCCCGTCGTGCAGGCACAGCAGAGACCGTTGCAGCTGGGCCACAAGCTGAGTACGATGCTTGGAAGCCGTTATTGTTCAAGTTGAATATCGGGTCCTTAAGCTGGGTTTGTTGACCTTGAAGTTTGGTGCAGCCTTCGCAACAACCGACCAAGCAGCCTTGACAACAGAGTATAAGTGCGTATTGTTATAGTGGGGTTGCTTGGTTTACTTGTCGACGTAGCCCCGCTATACAGCTGATCAGTCAAGCAAATTCAGCTACGTGCATCCACATACAAGCATCAAGGCTACCCAGCAATACCGCGGCAACTAGGACCGCGAAGCCACCGCAACGACACTGTCGGACCAATGCGGGCAGGCCAAAAAAAATCTCGTTCCCGGCATGGGCGGGACTTGGAGACCCATGAAGCCTTAGGGGTACTTAAAAACAAATTTTATTATTATTATTATTATTGTTATTATTATTATTACTATCATTATTATTACTATTATTACTATCATTATTATTATTACTATTATTATTATTACTATTATTACTATTATTACTATTATTTTTGTTTATTATAGAATCCGGGAAGCCCATGGGGCGGCCCTTAGAGGCTGGCGACTGGGAGAGCACGACTCCCCAGTGCGGTTTGAGATCGCAGGGGCCCCGTCAGAACTCGAGAGGCACTGCAAGTAATGGAGTGCGAATGCCGCAAGCTCATTCAAACCATGCCTGACCCGGACAGGCCTAAGCCTTTATGCACCCTCCAAACCCTTAAACCTAAACCTTACATCCGCAGGAAGCTGACAAGCCCCAGAGGTATTACTGCCCAGACGCCGGAAACCAAGTGTAGTGATATGAGGGGCCAAGCCGAAACCGTTAAACCTTGACTTCCTGACTTCTAAACGCTGAACCCTAAAGGACTTGACGGGGGACGTGGCACTGTACATGATCAGGGGCCATCATCAAGCGTTAAATCACACCTACAATATCAGATCCATCATACCCAGAGACTCCAATACCCCTTAATTAAGGAATATACTTTAAATAATAGTAGGATCCTTAATATGAATCAAGGCATATTCCATACTTAAGGGATATTGGAGTCTTTGGATAGGGCTTTTCTCTGGCGAGCAAGGACGAAGCAGCTTTGCCCGGCTTCAACGCAGCAGAAGCCTCATCTGTGGGTGGAGTCCTCCTGGGATTCTGTCACATGGAGAGATCTTCCGAAATTTGGCTGGTTAATATAGGGGCCTTATAATAATAACAATAACAATAATAATATTAATAATAATAATCATAATAATAATAATAGACTCTAGACCCTAAACCCCAACACCCTAGACCCTAAACCGGCTTTTGTTTATGAGTTATGGAATCTAGCATTCACTGGTAGGATGAGTGTGCAGGCCGTCAGGCCGTGAAATTGCACTTTCCTGAAAACTGTGATTAATAACTACGACTCCTATTTTGGGGGACCCCTGTTATAGTTCTAGTATAATGGCCCCCCAAACCCTTTTCTAATGATTAAGGACCCTATAGCTAAAGGAATCGTTGCAGATGTTTCTCGTCCTCAGCAGGGTTTTGGGTTTAGGATGCTCGTTGTTGATCGGATTTTTGCGGGCAGACTGAAGCTGACGGTGCACACTCGCATACATTTCCGAACTACCGCTGTGGCGATAGACAGTTTGATAAGGTTTAGGTTTTAAGGTGCTGAGCCATAACCCCCAAACCGGGACTCTTTTCTTCTGGAGTGCTGAAGCCAATCTAAGGAAAGGCATGCCTGTTCCGCCGACACTCAGCCTGTGGTGAGGTGGATGATTTTTGTATTCAGGACTAGGGGTTTTAGGGTACCATAGGATTTTGGGGGCTCCTTATCATGATTCTAGTACAATGGGCCGCAAAACCATATTCTAATTATTCAGGCCTCTGTATTTGTATTCACGACTAAGCATTTTAGGGTAGAGTTGCCAACTTGGGCTTTGCAGTTGGACCAAATCATGAAGCCACGACCGTGACTATGACGGTTGACAAGTCTGGCTCAGGAATCGGATCACGCACCAAAACCACCTCAGGATCATGAACAAGTTCCGGAAGGAAGTCGAGGTCCATCCGGAAGCTTTCAGTGACATTGTCACTGCACGGCGGCAAACCAGCACTGACTGACAGTTGCTAGGAGGTGTGTTTGCATCGAGAGCGGCAAAGAGGTTGATCCAAGGCCAGCGCAGCCAGTGTATGGAACGTGGCCTCTGCACCACCTCGGCAATCTCGTAGCTTCCAGCCAGCATCTAGCTGGTGCCACGACATGAAGTCGGCAAGATGCGTTCACTTGAGCGCTTCACGTGTTCATCACAGATGAAACGCACAGTCTTATTAATATGCTGTTGCTTATGCTGTTGCTTGGGAGCCTGCCCTGCCACTGACAGGAGTCATCCAACATCCAAGATCTTGTGCACATCTTGGCGTCACGGAAACCTGCACCCTACAACACCCACACTAGCGGTTTCGTAGGGCTCTATGGGACTGATGGGAGATGACTCTTGGTCATGTCAGCTCGGAGAGATGTTGCATCGTTGCGGCTTCATCCCTCACGGTCTGCACGTTGTAATCAGTGGCGGACTCCCTGCAACACGAAATGCCTGAGCCTCTGTCCATTTCAAACCAGCCATATACAAGAACATCATGAAGCAGGACGTGGGCCTGGGGATTACAGCAGGGTACCCTACTTAGGGTACTTTGCCTAACATCAAGGTGGCTTGGGCCATAGCATATTCATGATAAGTAGTATTGCCGTGATTGAATGTATGTAGGGCTTTCTGCAGCCTATAGCAGTCTTCGTCAGCTGATGTGCGCCATGTTTGTGGCATCGGGTTTTGAGTTTATGTTTTTGTTTTTCGGCGAGTGTAGACAGGGTTTAGACAGGGCTTCCCCGGAGTGTTGCCGGGTCCTGGAGATAGTATATGGGTGGTTGTTCAAATAAGGGTCCCTTTTGTGGGACCCTAAATATTAGGTGCCGTATTATGATAGGGACCCAAAAAGTGGACCATGATTTTGACAAGCACCCACATGTGATTGTACGTAGCCCAAGTTCACATACTTGCTACGGTTATGACCATACATCGTTCTGTGCATTGATCATTTCCAAGGATTGTCGGGGTTTACGGTCAATGCTCAAACCCAAGACCTTAACGCGTAAACCCTAGCCCTATACCCTTTGTGATGAAGGCTTCGGTTACATGCCTTCAGGTATTCGGATTCCACATTTTATTTTGTGAAGGTAATCGTCCACCTTTTGAGTTCGAGGGTTGAGGGATCTGGGGCTGGATGCAGTACCGCTATAGTCTCCTTAGGATTTTTTGTTCTTGTTCATATAAAGCCCAAGAGAATATTAAACACAATATGTTTTATGGTTCCAAGGGGGGTGTAGACTGATGGCTCAGACAGCATACTAAGCTTTGACAGAGGCTCGCAACACGTACGATGGCACAGGCCTGACGATCAACTTAAGGTTTTGGTGCCTCAGCGCTGAGCCCTGAGCCGCGTAACTTTGCCTCTGTTGTTGCAGTGTTGTGGGTTAAAGGTTTTAGGGTTTAGGGTGTAGGATACATACATGGTCATACGCCTATTCAGAGTACTAGGATGCCCAGTAGTACCCTTATTCCCTTTTTGTAGTCCTAGGTTCCTTATAAAGTTACCCAATACCAAAAAGAGAGGCCTTTTTTATTCTGTGGTTACTGGGTATCCTAGAGTAGATGTTCCGATTACGGATCAGGGATGTTCAGGAGCTTTCCCTGGAGAGGGGGGCAGTTTTCCAGATTCCCAAATGTGCCCCGAAACCTTAGAGGGCCTCACGGTTTAGGGTTTAGGGTTTAGGGTCTAGGGTTGAGGGTTTAGGGTTTAGGGTTTAGGGAAACCATTGCAGAACCCGTCGTGAACCTTATAGAAGCCTACCTATAGTCTCCATTCTAGTTCCTGTTTTTGGTTTAACCAATTATCTATTAAGGATCCTGTAAGGTATCCCCCAGAAGGACCTACAATGGAGGTTATAGGTATAGACTACCATATCCCGCCCAGGGTTTTTGGGTTTTTGGATCTATAAGGTCTAAGGTTTGGCTTGTACCTTGAACCTTCAGAGCTTACCCGAAGGCTCTATTTTGGCTCCAATATTAAACGCCAAACCCTAACAGTTCTTTGCTTGCTTGGGCTCGGCCCGTTTTCCGATTTCCTGACTGCTGCTTCGATACTTGAGCTGGGCGGTCACGGGAGGTTCCGACAGCTTACACCCCCGCCATGCAGAAATTTTAGGGGCTGGGGGCTTAGGGCTTAGGTTTAGGGGCGGGCTTAGGGTTTAGAGTTTAGGGCGTTTAGGGTTCCGGGGTTTAGGGTTTGGTGGGTTTGTGTAGACGGATTCTTCTGACTTCACGTTTCGCCCGCAGGGGACTTGTTTCAGTCAGAGTTGTTCAAGCCTAGACCCTCAGCCCTAAACCCCAAACCTTCAGACTCAGCGCAAGATCAAAGGGCTCCTCTGTTTCCACAGACGGGCTGACGTCCCCTCAGCCCTCAGCCCAACACGAATTCATGTGCATTTAATTTTTGGGATTTAGAGTTTAGTATTCATAAAGGTTCAGGGATTGACAACACCACGCCGTAAACTTTTCGAGCCCAAACAAACTTGACGGTTGAAGGCTCAATCCTGAAGCTTTGGCCTTGCAAGTTTCAGAGCCGTAAAAAGCCAGAGCTCTACTATAGGGGCGTAAGTAATTACCTATACTGTTTTAGAAGCCCCCTCTCATAATTACAGTGTAGTGGGGCCCAGAACCCTATTCTAGCGTTATTATAAGAACCCTCTATTGCGTAAACTAAGCGTATCAATCGCTAAGCCCAAAAGCCCGAAGACCCGCCACGAACCGGGGAACCCCAACTCGTAGACTCTGGGCGCAACTTAGAGGTTCGTGGGTAGTTGTACGTGGAGATATAAGTAGGGTAGCTACATATAGTATAACTCCTACTAAAGGACTTAACTTATAACCCCACTTATAACTACCCATGAACTCCAAGTAGACCCTAAACCCTCTACCCTTAATTATAGATTCCCTATACATCCCTTTAAAGGGACCCTTAAAGGAACCCTTATAACTAGCCATGAACCTCCAAGTATTCGTTCAGATATCGGGGATCATGGTGTCCACCAAACTTGAAGATTGCGACTGGTTCTTCGGCATTTGAGGTTTATGACGCAAGGGTCATTAGGGTTTAGGGTTTATAGGCTCTATAGGGTTTATAGGGTTTAGGGTTTAGGGGCACATCCCCACACCCGGAAACCGAATGACCGTCCTCTGCTCTGGCATCGCGAGCTTGCACCGTAGAAGGCGAGGTGTCTCCACCAGTTCGCAGTTCGCGTTCATTTTTGGGGTGCATTTCTTATCCTAGGATGCCCAGTAGTACCCTTCTTCCCTTTTTGTAGTCCTGGGTTCCTTATAAAGTTACCCAATACCAAAAAGAGATGCCTTTTTATTCTTAGGTTACTGGGTATCCTAGTTATCCCGTGTCGGGTTTCAGAGGGGTCAGGGCCTTTACCCTGCATGAAATCCCAAAAGGTTTGGGGTGGCAGACGAGTTCAGAATTTGGGATCGCCTATGTAGTCTGGATGGAAGGCTCGATACCTTCCCCTAAGGGTCCATGTACCCAAATAATATACACTTTGGCCACAAAGTACCGACAAAGGGACTACTTTAAGGCCAATGTAACCAATGTATTTACTACTTAGGTACATGGACCTTTACAGTTCCTTTTCCGCTAGGTTCAGGGCTTAGGGCTTATAGTAGGCTTTTGGGTTTAGGATTTAGGGTTGATGATAGGCGGTCGGGTTCAGGGCTTACAGTAGGCTTTTGATGTTGAGCTTAGGATTCAGGGCTTCTAGTAGGCTTTTGTAATCAGTTCTTCTTTTGCCTAGCCAGATGTTTGGTCTAAGGCAGGTTTCAGAGAACCTCGGTCGGTAGACCTTCAAGCTCCCAGAGCGGACAATCAGGTCATATAGGGCCCTGAGTTAGTAGCAGGATTTTGGGGTATAGTCTGGAGTAGTTTTTTTCACAAGGGAACCCTGAGGAAAAGTACTGGAACTTCATCGAGCCCTAAGGAACCAGCCTCGACATGATTTTGCGATTTGATGCTCGTCGTGAATTGTTTTAAGTTTAAAACAATTCACGACGAGCATCAAGTTAGTAGCAGGATTTTGGGGTATAGTCTGGAGTAGATTTTTTCACAAGGGAACCCTGAGGAAAAGTACTGGAACTTCATCGAGCCCTAAGGAACCAGCCTCGACATGATTTTGCGATTTAAGGATGGGTTTCCTCCGGGTCCCTGACAATGACGGCTCCATTGCTTCTAGTTTTACACGGTCCCCAAATTCTATGGATTCTCCGTTTAGCTGCACTGACGGCATAATTGCTTTAGTCAGCATCATTTGCAGTGTTGCTAGTCCCGAGTATGCTTTCCGTTGTACCTCATTTTGGCAATGTAAGTCTTGAGGCGATATGGGAGTTTCCGAAAATGGGGGACCCTAATATGGTACCCTAAATAGTCGGATCCTTATTATTCGGACCCCAAAATAAGGTACCCCCCATTTTCGGAGACCCCCATATGGCGGAGACAAAAGCTACACAGACGCACATCAACAGCCTTATGAGGAGCTGGCCTGCCAAGACCAAAGCGCGAGCCAGAAGCAAAAGCAGTTTCCGTTTTGATAGACGCACACGTTCGACATAGATCAAGCTACTACGCCAGTGATTCGGACAAAGCGGTACTGAAGTGGTGGAGCACCCGAGACCGGCCCATTGTAAGTTTCTGCTTTTCGCCAGCTTTGGCCTGAACGGGTGCACGGGCCTCGAGGCCAGCATTACTCACAGCTGCTGTTTGCAACTATTGCACGTCCTTCCGTAACTCCTGGAGTGCACGGCTCGCATAAACAGGTCAAGCATGTTCATCCCTCTTCTCCTGTTGCATTTGCTTTTCGTAGTCGCGGTATTCCGGAGGGGATCAAAGATCAGGTCATTTAGCTTTGTCGATTATCAAGAATCGGCCCGAGGCCCATTCTGCCTCCGTAGCCACTGGCGGCACGATGGAATTTAGCTGTACAGTCTTCACGGCCGACATTAAATCCTTCCGTCTTTGGATGGTAGGGTGGTACAGGAGAAGTGCTCAGACGTTGTCATTCAATCTTTTTCCACGTGGCTCTGAAGCAGGTCGTGCTGCGAGCCTTCTTTAGAATTGCTGAAGTTCACCTGCCATGCCTTGGGGGCTGGAGATGTTTCGGAGCCACAGCAAATTCCGATACTCCGACTTGCAATTTTCAGTGCAGTGACCCAATGCAGCTTATGGCCTTGGGACATAGTCCGTTCGTCTGCCATTGAACCTTGAAGGTTTGACTAAGGGACAGACCCAGATTCCGCCGACACTGACATGCACAGGCTGCACCGCAGTCCAGTCCAGGGATCCTCGGATGTCATTGCGGCCTCCTAAACCCGAACCAACCCTGAAACATGCTGAAAGCTTATACTAGGATGCCCAGTAGTACCCTTATTCCCTTTTTGTAGTCCTAGGTTCTTTATAAAGTTACCCAATACCAAAAAGAGAGGCCTTTTTACTCTTAGGTTACTGGGTATATCCTAGTATATAATTTTCAATCCTACACAGTCCTGCACCTTTCTTATCTCGGGATTGCAAGGTTGTTCGACTGCCTGGATTCCTCTAAACGGCCATGGCCACACACGGCCGCATGCATTTTCCTGTTTTGCTTAGGCCCGGGAGCCCAGCACTATACCTAAATGCACAAGAAAGGGGCCACAACAATTTCGTATACTATTTTTTTTGGGGGGGGGTTCTTATTATGATTATAGTATAATGAGACCCAAAACCCTGTTCTAGTTATTAAGGCCCGTATATTGGGATGCGGGGTTTACGGTTTACAGCTCAGGGTCGTAGCGTTCCTTACAGTACTACGCACGACGCCCACCTCAGGTTTGCAGTTGCATCCCTCATGCCCCGGAATGTCGTTCCTGAATATGTTTGAGGTGTCCTGAAGAAGTCCCGATAAGTGCTGGGCTCTGTGGGACGTAAACGTACAGTGCACCTATGGTTTTCTCCTTCGACGCCATCTGTCTGGAGGCACAAAAAAAAGCTTGACGTTCAGGTCGGCCGCGTGAAGGGCGCAGCGCACACCCCGGGTTTCTGCCATCGGGCCTAAATAGCTGCCTATGCTATTTGTTTTTTGTTTGGGGGGTCCTAATTATATAGTTATACATAGTAGTTACAACGGACCGCAACCCTATTCTAATGATTCAGGGCCCTATGCTAGATGATCGAAAGCCCTCCAATGCGTGAACAAAGCCAGTGCGAAGCAAGCGGCAAGGACGATGATTCAGAAGGAGCAATCCCCAACACCATAACACCGGCATGACAATTACCAGTCACCGGCCGCATCACCATGATCAGCGGTAGTGCAGCACCAGCATAGTCACCGTTGCCAGAACCGTCATCATTGTCGCCAACAAATGACCGCAATCATCTTCGAGATTCCGGGCACAGGTCCAGGTTTTGTCGTAAATTCTGCCAAGCCTTTGCGCAGGCCGTCGACTTTACCATCCCCACGCCAGATGAGGTCCAGGCTGTTCTCGCAGATAATGCCACATCGAACGCTGGCGACGAAATGTCGGCTGCACCTTCCAGTATGTTTGAACTGGAGAGCGGCTTGCCGCTGGACTCAACACAGCTTAGGGGCACTTAGAAATAATTTTTGATTTTTGGTGATTATAATACCTAAGAAACAGCTAAAATTGAATTTTGTTGCTAGGGTTCTAAGTTCAGTATAGCAGCAGATGCCTTCAAGTTTGAAATCAAATTTCAGTACCTAGCCTCAAGAACCTATGCTTGAAAGCCTGAAATGCTGTGAACCTAGAACTCTAGTCGCAAGAATCTGCAGCAGATGCCCTAAGAAGGCTTGAACTGTTGTGCCGGGCCGTCCAGTACTGCACCGTGGGCAGGTCCCCGATTTGCTAATCCCTGCTTAAAGGGATCATGTGGCTTGGATGCTGAGACATACACATTATCATATCATATCACACACACACACATATAGAATATTTACACATACAGATGATGCGTTTATGTGTTTAGGGTTTAGTCATATTACGGTTTCCTGAACCCCAAAATTATGTAGAATAATAGCCTTTTAAAGGTTTTGGGCCATTATTTTGCCTACCTATGGGGGTCTAGGTTGGGGAGTTATGTGGAGTTTAGGGTTGAGGCTGGCGTAAGCGCGCAGTGGCGTATTGGGGTTGTAAGTATTGAAATTCCGAGCTATGAGCCGGTATAATCAAGAACAGAACCCCACCCCCCAATCTCTGGACCTTGAAACCCGAAAGCCTAAGCTGATATGAGGGTTTGGGAATTTAGGGTTTAGGATTCCGAAAACCATGTTGCCGAAAGAGGCGTCCAGTAGGTATACGTGGCTTCATATCTGGTACTCTCAACCCAAAACCCCAGAAACCCTAAGCCCTAAAACCCTGAAGCCCCAAAGCTTGTGGCCCTGAAACTCTAAGCAAGCATTCAACCCTAAACCCTAAAGCATTCAACCCTACCTAGACCCCCCAAAGACCCTCTAATATACTCCAAATACCTACTGTTAAGGGCCATTTGGGCTCCATTAAAGAGCCATTGGGGGGTCCTGGTAGTCCAGTTTCCGTCGCCTAGGACCCAGAGTAGGCCCTTATTTCCTTTTTTGAGGCTTAGGTTCCCTTATAAACCCCTTTAAACCAAAACGGGCACCCTTTCTATTCCTAGGTTACTCTAAGGTCTAGTAGCCCAGGTTCGGCCCAGGTTCGCTGTGCATCTTGGCCTTCCCTTCGGGGCTCGACGTCGAGGATCCCAGGTTTATAGGTGTAGGGTTTAGGCTTTAGGGGTTTAGGGGTTTAGGGGTTTAGAGTTTGGGTTTAGGGTTTAGGGTTTAGGGGTTTAGGGTTTAGGGGTTTAGGGGTTTAGAGTTTGGGGTTTAGGGGGCTCTAAGGACTCATATGGTAAGGCTTTTGGGCCCAAAGACCATACTATGTAAGGCTCTTGGGATATTTTGAGCCTTAGGGTAGGAGTTTAAGGTCAGGGGTTTAGGGTCGCAGGGTTGAGTTCGGCTTTGCACCGACAAACCCTCGCCGGGAACTTTGAGTCGTTTTCCTCTACGGGTGAGTTAAGGGCTTGTACCGGAGTCCTTCAAAACCCACATTTGTGCTGGAGGGGAGGGTACTGCACTATCGCCTCCTTCTATATTTCCCGAATCAGGTGGCTTAGGTAGGGTTGAGGTCTTTATATAAGTAGAACATAGTAGAACATATTATTCGTTTCGGAAAATGGAAGAAGTTGACCCAATCCGTTTAGTCGATCGTGCGTCAAGAGCCCGAAACCGCTGAATTCTAAGCTCATGGGGAGCCGTGCCAGTTCCGCATTGCATGAGCGTTTTGCGGCTTGACGTTGGAAGAGGGACCTTTTTTGGGGTTCACGAGTTGTGGGGCGAGAGGTGCGGGTGATTGGGATCAGGTTTAGCAGGTAGGCTCCGGATTCGAGGCTTTGGGTGTAATTATAGGGTGGGGGGGGGCGCCTAGGTTTCCAGTTTGAAGGTTACGAAAGTCCGAGGGGAGTGTAGGTTAAGGGGCTTTCAAGGCTTCGGCTTGCTCTTGCTTCGTGTCGTGTCTCAAGCTCACCTTTAGTCTGTGTTTTGTTCGCGACACTGCTTTTGACCTCAGGTTAAATTCCTAGTAGTAGAGTAGGTAACCTTTAACCTTGTTTGGGTAGTATAGTCCCTATATAATCCCTATATAACCAAAAAGGTTAACCTTTAGTTCCCCAGACGAGTATCAGGACTACAGGGAAGATCTCGAGCCTAGCTAGGGGCCCGAACATGAGGCCTTCAAACCCCAATCAATGAGCGCAGGATAATGGGTTTCGTGTCGGACACCCCTGAATCCCCGAAGCTCCACATGCCGGATCCTTGTATTCCTATGCTTGTGATGAGGAGCCCTTTTTTAAAGAAATCCTATAAGTACTATCCCTAAGAATTTGGGATGTCGTTTGGTTGTCATGTGTAGCTACAGCAAAGCATGTGCCAAAGAAGCATTGCTTCGGATGGAAATGCTGAAAGCAATTGTTTCGGCTTCAGGGTTCAGGATTTAGGAGTTTCCGAAAATTAGGGGGTACCTTATTTTGGGGTCCTTATAGTAAGGATCCTACTATTTAGGTTACTACTATATTTGGGTCCCCTATTTTCGGAAACTCCCATTTAGGTCCCCTTGTCGAGAAGCCTCCTTCGAGGTTATCAATAGTAGGATCCCGGTAGAGTGTATATGATGTTCGAACTAAAGCTTTGGGAAAGGTTCAGCGAAGGAGCTGGAATCCGGCGTCGAGACTACTCCACCCCTAAACCCCTGAACCCTAAACCCTGACCGCATATCTTTCAGGGCTTCAACCTTTCAGATGGCTTCCCCAAAGGAACCCATGTACCGATATAGTAGAATGTAGGGTTTGTATGTTAGGAGTTACTATTATGATTTGGGGAAGTATCCCCCATAACAGTACATAGGACCCTTTGGCTTCTGCTGGAAGCTCAGACTGGTGAGCCCCAACCCGAAAAGCCCTCTGCCCTGCATCCTTGCAAATCCTAAACCCTATAGACCCAAAGTCTTCCATCCTAATCCCTGTAAGCCTAAACCCCCAAAACCCTAGGCCCTACGCCCTACAAGCCTTAAACTCTATAGACCTTAAGTCCTGCAACCTAATCCCGAATCCCTACCCCCAAACCCGTGGCCCTCTAATCCCTAATCCCTGATCCCCAAGCCCTGAGCGAAGGTATGTCGGGAGGACACTTCCGCCCGTGCGAAGAGATGGACCTTCGGGAGCTTAACCAGCTTTATCACACGACCTGGGCCGACATTGGTCTTTAGGGTCTACGTGCAGGGCCTTTACACAGACGACTTTTGTCGAGTGTTGTTATGGCTTGCTCATAAAATGTCCTCAACAAAACATTACATTGTAGGTTCAGGTAACTTTTCTGGTTATGGATTTTAGGGTTTAGGGTTTGTGGGGTTCAGTGTCCTAGAAGGTCTTTGGAGTTGTATGGTTCTTACGGTTTTGAATCTCTAGGGTTTAAGGCGGGGCTTCATAATGTCGGGGATTTGGTGGGAACTTTGGCTCAGACTAGCGCAGCCATCCCCTGGAGACTTCTCGTTTTATGGCAATGGTACTCTCAGATGTTCTTTACCCTAAACCCTAAGGGCCCTACGGCTTCAAGTGGTTCAAAGGCCTGAACATAAAATGGTCTTTGGGCCCAAAACCCTGAACACTTGTGCGCGCTGCCGGGGAGAGAAAAGGGGAGTTCGGATTTGGGCTTCGGGCTACTTACAGGTCCAGGTCCAGTTAGGTTAGTCAAAAGCCTGATGCAGACCGTATGCCTAATACTTGGGTCGGAATAATTAGCAATATCATCCCTTATAATCCAAGTTGTAATACAGTATTATGATATGTAATTTACACCAAAACCCGATTCTGATTCTTAAGGCCCTTATACTAAGCCTTCCTTATCGTATCCCCAAACACGGAACACAGTAACGGAGCCACATTCGAAGCATTACGGCCCGTACAGTTCGATGCACTTTCGATCTTCCAAAGCTTAGGGTTTAGGGGTTTAGGGTTTCGGGGTTTTGGGGTTTGGGGTTTCGGGGTTTGAGGTTTCGGGGTTTTAGGGTTTAGGGCAGTTTTACTCTCCAAGATTCACCTATATGGATATGGGGCGCCATGCAACTAACATTGCACGCCAGCCTAAACCCTAGATGCTCTACGACTCAAGAAAGCCTAATTCAAAGGTCGGAAGAATTAGGAATAGTGTCTCCGCATCGTCCATTCAGATACTATTATCTATTTGGGCGGTGGTCAAAATACTTTGTCGCGAAGTTTATACAAAACAACCTACTGTTTGATTGTTGGGGTCTATATTTTTATTTACAACAAGAGGCGTCACGCAACTTGGGCTCCGTAATCCCCCTTTTTGGCGCTAGGACAGCGTTAGCCTGGCGCTAGGGTTCTAGATAGCAAGTGGTTCGTGAGATAATTGATTTCATGCTTGGAGGGTATGATGAGTCTGTACACCGTTTACGCCTTCTCTACTCCTATCCCGAATTACTCCTACTCGATCTCTGAACTCCTACTTCTACTCTTGCTCCTACTCCCACTTCCACTCCTACTGCTGTTATTGACACAACAACTACTACTTCTCCTGCTGCTGCTACCAGGGTTTAGCAGCCTGCAAACTACGATGTCACTCCAATCGCGCATTGCTTGAAGAAGCTTGTTTCCTGGCAAGTATACTTTTCATTCGCATAAGATCGCATAAGCAACATCTCCTGTTGACATCATCACAGCTGAGCCAAAAACTGTGTGATAACATGGGCAATCCGCGCTAGGCGCGCACTAGCTCAGCGCTAGCAGCACGCTAGCAAACTTTTCACTTCTGATGCCTATAGCCCAAAGGCTTCGATGATGCACCCTAAGGGGCTAAGGGTTTAGGAATTCGGGGTTTAGGGTTTAAGGATTAGGGGTTTAGGATTTAGGGTTTAAGGATAAGAGGTTTAGGATTTAGGGTTTAAGGAATATCCTATATCCGAATCCCATTCCAATTGCTAGAGCCTGGTCATGAGACTGCTGAAACTTTGGATGTAGTTGGGGAAAGGTGCTGGATGAGAGCCTTCATTTCTACAAGGAGCTGGTCGGCCACTCTGAATTCGGGCTTGGGCTGGGATTTACTACACGGGTCCATGATGCTATGCAGCACTGCATACCTGTCCTGCGAGGGGTTCCTTACGCGGGGGGGGGGGGGGATTTCAAGGCTTCAGTATATTTTGCATAGGTGCCTGGGCCTTAGGGTTAAGGTGGCGTGGGATTCGGGATTCACGGACATAAGATCTAAAAAGCCTTGCGAGGTTTGCAGAGCCCGGATCCGCCATTTAAATTGCGCGAACTACAACCCGTGATGCCAAAATCTTACATATGCACGTGTGCATGTATGCTCGGATAGTCTATGTCTGTATGACTGTAGTATGAGTATATATATATATATATACATATATATATATATATGCATGTACACATATCTCTGTGTGACAAATGTATGCGTGTGTGTGTCAACCTGATCCTGCTTCAGGATGCATGAGCGGACGAAATAGCCAACGAGGGAAACGAAGCCGAACCTCATGTCCTACTTATCGGTTCACGGTACATATCACAACTGATTTGGCAACAAGGTAGCTTAGTTTTAAATGCTTACTCCCCCGCACCCCCTCCACTCGCGAATAGGTCATTTGCGACCAAATGTACTAAGTCCCCATCAGCCTTCAAGGAGAGTTTTTAACCACAGCGACCATTTAGTAGGTGCTAGGGTCGAGAGCTTCCCTAAAGCCCAAACCCTGAACTTAAAAGTTTTTCGCTAAGGCGGGTGTGGATGAGCCCGAGAAGAAGCGGAAAATCATTGGCAGGCAGGATCTTTGGTTTAATGTAAGGGCCTCCAGCAATTAGAAGAGCGTTTTGGGGGGTCCCTTATTATGCCCCCACACCCTATTCTAGTTATTAAGACCCCTGCATTAGGCGAGTTAGGGTTTTGGATCAGACTTTTCGTGGAAGTCGGCCTCCTCGGTGAATGTCCAGAAGTCTTGGAGGATCAGTGGCTTGCTAAGTAAGTCGACACGGGCAGTCCTATAAAAGAGCGTCCCTTTTAGGGTCCTCGCTAGAAGGGTGCCGTACTATATTGGGGGCCGAAAAATTAGGGACCCAAAAGGGACACAAGAAAAAGTTGTTTATCGGGATATTCCTACCTTACTACGTTTCATGATAAGGGGGTTATATGGGATATCCCTAGCCTCATTTGTGCTTGTGTGCTTCTCTATGGACCTAAACAAGGGATTTTACTTTGGGGAACCTCCCATATGTATCTTCATCAGGGCTACTTTCGAGACGGAGAAGTACCATTATAGTCGTGCCGTAATCTACGCCAGCACCGTAACATCAAGCCCCTTACAGCAGCATTTGGGGGCGTCCATGGGCCTTGATAAAGGCACCGGTCTTAAAACAGGATTCAGAATGGTAATTTAGGGGCCTTAATACTTAGAATAGGGTTTGGGGGCCCAGTATACCTTAACTATAACAAGGAGCCCCCAAAGTATTCTTAGTAAGTCTTGAGACTTGAGACCGCTAGGCTAGAGTACTACCGAGTCTGGGGCTGCAGATTCGGGGTGTGCGGAGTGGCTAACTCAACGAAACATCATCGAACGTAGAAGCCTGAACAGTTGCCAACATAATTCCTTAGAGTTCCTTGAAAAAGAAGGAACTCTTCAGGAGCTAGGCGCATTTATAATCACCTACATTATTTTCGGGTTCCTTATTATGATTATAGTATTTTGGGCCCCACACCCTATTCTAATTATGAAGGCCCTTCTTTTGGCACTAACCCTCAACCGTCACAATGCAAAAAACGCGCGATAACCCTAAACCCTTAACCCCAAAGGATCCCTTATAGATCCCTGAAAGGAACCCTAAGTTATATCCCTCAAAGAAGAGCCCAGACGATTTTCGAGGCTTTTCGTGGAGGCCTTCGAGAAGGCTGTCACGGAGATGGGTCTTCCACATGAAAAGCGTTGGCCTCATCCCAGCGGAGGTAGTAGTTCAGGCCTTTGGGTTTATAAGTTTAGGGTGTTGGGTTTTTTAGGGTTAAGGTCTAGGGCTTAAGGTCTGGGGTTTAGGGTTTGAGTTTAGGGTTATTAGGGTTGAGCGTGTAGGGTTCAGGATCATCCAGGCGCCGGGGCTTCGAATCCCACAGCTTTCATGTTTAGGCTTAGAACCGGGTTTAATCTGTTAGACAGTCAGTTTAAAGCTTTTGCTGGGATACTCGTAGGATATGATAGGGTTCAATGTGGTGTCCTTGAGAAGCAGGATGGGGTTTGGATCCAGTTTGGGGGCATATGTCTAAAAGCCGCGGATCTCCAAAAGGCACCGAAGCAAGGATCAAGCCTTCGCTCAACGTTGAGAGCTTGGGGCCTCCGGGTTGGTGGGGGGGCAGGGCTGGGATGCAACCCCACTTCCCTGAGAATTTGCTTACGGACAGGTTCGTGTTGAACATCTATGGGTCTTCTGACTTTTCTCTATCGTGCAGAAGAAGATGCAAGTGAATTTGATGATGGTGATGCTGAGACTGAAGATGACGGCGACACTACCAACGATGCTGACGCTGGTAGTCACTGTGAGAACAGGCATGGTGGTGGTGATGATGATGATGGTGAAAGCCGCCGTCATGTTGAAGATGCGGCTGTATGGGTTGCTATGACCGCAAAGATGACGGCTGTAGCATGTGTGCTTACCATGGGGTGATTATGGATGTCGCTGAATGATGATAAAAGATCTTGTTGCTGTTGCTGATGATGTTGTTGTTGATGACGATGACTGTGGTTGTGGCAGTGACGATGATGGTAATGTGATCGTGCTGACTCCACCAGGCTGATCCAAAACGGGATGGTGAGCTTATAGTGTCGACGACAATGCTGACGAAGACATGGCAGTGCTGGTGAATTGGCTGAATTGCGAGAGTTATCAGCTGCACTGAATTGTGTTTATCTGCATCAGTATGACAAGGAGCAGTAACAGCAGCAGGAATGATATCTTCAGTCTTCTTGTCTGAATCACAACATGATCATCTTTGGGAAGCGCTGCCCAAGTACGTGAGGCAATTCTCCAAGATCTAGTACCCAACGGGTCCAATGTACCGATATAGTAGAATGTAGGCTTCCACAGTAAGAAGCATCATTGTGACTTAGGGAAGTATCCCCGATAACAGTGCATAGGACCCTTTGGGGTACTCATGTAGTCATGTCGGTGAGTGGCAGCGCTCAGGCTTTGGCACTCC